AACAGCGCGCCAGGTCGGGGAAGGCGACCCCACATGCAAGCGCCTGGGTTTCCTAGAAGTCTTGGTAGCGGAAGTTGGCAAGACAGAAGAATGCATCAGTTCAGGAGTCGGCCTGCAGTCGGCCACCCCTCTGGACAGCTTACAACATAAATCAGAATAAAATAAATAAATTGACTATTTCCAGGGATTCAGGTAGGAGTGTTCTTGTAATGTCATTCTGGTCAAAATGGTTCAGTTTGTGGGGTTTTAGCTGTATTTTTTAACTTTGCATGGAAATGTACATTTTTGGTGTGCATTTTCCCCAAATATGCACATTTCTGTGCTCACTTTTCAATTCTGTGCATTTTCCCGAGTTCTTTTCCGTTGATGTAATGCAGGTTTGGGTGCTTTTTCCACTAATATGCACATTCTTAGTATATGCTTCCCTTGCCTCACTGGTTCACCAAACTCAGAAAAGTGTGGATTTTGGCTTGCAATTCTGTCTTAGCTCGCTTGCTGGCTCAGGAGGTGAAAATTGGGTAAATTTGTATAAAACCCTTTGCAGAAAAAAAATTTCCCACATCTCTAATTTCAGGCAGGGGAACCCTTTCCACTGCTGCTACCCAGTTATTTTCTTAAAAGATGGTTGCACTGGGACTTTCCTTTTGCAGAAAGGTTGTGCATGAATTGTTGCAAATAATTTGCAAATCATCTTGTGATAGATTCTGACCATCAGCTGAACCCACCCTGACTAAAAGTACATTTTCTGTCTTGTGGATGCAGCAAAGTACAAACAAGACATAAATGCATAAACTGGAAATTGATTGCTAAATAACCCAAAGCTGATTGCTGAATTACAGGGTATCCTGGTTTGGTTTTCATTCTGAATGCTTCAGAGTTGTACTGTAAGCTTTTCTCAATTACTGGGAAGAATGAATTGATTAAAGCTAACATTACAGATTTTTAAGGAGTGTAGCAATTAACTGGAGGCCGGTGCTGACTAATTTTATGGAAATAACACCTTTGTCAAACATGGGTATGTAAAGACCCAGAGAATTTTAGAAAAAGGGGGTGGGTTCCATTTTTTCTGAAGTTTTCCAGGTTTTTTCTGGCCCTTCACATTTCTAGTCAAGCAGTGTCCCTGCTTGAGCAAAGGTGTATTATGACCAAAGATACTGTGAGACAGTGTGGTGTAGTGGTTAGAGACTTGGAATGGGACTTGGAAAATCTGCTTGTAGTGCTATTTGACCATGAAACTCACTGGGTGAATTTGGGCCAGTTGCCAAATCTCAGCCTCCTACAGGGTTGTTAGGATCATGTGACTGAAGAAAGGCCCAATGCAGATGTAATATATAAACAAAGAAATGAAATGAAGGGAAGGGAAGGGAAGGAACTTTGCGGCTCTGTGGTGTAACACTTCACTATGATTAGTGCTAATCATGGCCTGCTATCTTAACCTGGTTAAGATATGCAGGCTAATCATGGTTTACTGTACTGAGCTAAGACCTGTCCCCTGGAGGGAGACAAGTCAGGGGGCACAGGTGAGATTTGCTTGTCGTCTTGCGACCCGAGAGGGTGGAATAGCTTTGATTACCATGGCTTGCTTGGTCTAGGAGTAGCCGTGTGCAAGGATTTTAATTCACTTCCAGGCTGTTCCCAGGCCCACTGCAACACGCTGGCATTAATGTTCCAGGCCCCAAGGGGCTTGTGACCAGGTTACCCGGAGCTTGGTGGGCGTGTGGTGAGCGGAGCCGGCTGGAGCCGGGGGTCAGGCTAGATGGCCCGAGAGGCCCCTTCTGACTTGCGCTGTTTCTGTGTTTCTAAGCTTGCCAGGATCCAGCGATCATCATTCAGGTGCCCCCCCCAAAAAAGCTGAGGTTGGCAGCTGTGGAGGAGTGGGCCCTTTCTCGGGTGGCACCCGCTCTTTGTGGGAGAGCCTTGTGCCCTGATTGTTGCCGGCCAAAGATGGTACGTTTCCAAGCGTTTTAGTGGGTTAGGGTTTTGTTTGCTTTGAAGCCACTGTAGTTTTGAATCATTACGCCGCTACTGTTTTCTTGCCTGTTTTTCGTTGTCTTTTTGTGCTGTGTTTTGTGATTCTCATTGTGAACCGCACAGTGAGCTTTGGCGAGCGAGTGGCGCATTTGGCCTGCGCTTGGATGGGGAAGGCCCCTGGGTGCCGCCAAGAACCCCCGGCCTCTGCTGCCACGAAGCCGCCGCTGTTCGGCATTTAGGAATGCTGGCTGGCCAGCGCTTGGACCTGCTGTGCCTCGCAGGCCACCAAGGAGAGGCAGGGTAGGACCGCTCTGGAAATTCAGGGCAGACAGGAACACACAGCAGTGCTCTTTGCAGGTTGCTAGAAAGGGCATTTTATTTTATTTTATCTCATTTTATTTTATTTATTTTTTCAATCCATCGGCCTTTATTTCATGCCTGGGAGAAAGAACGAGCGCCGGCAGCTTTTCACCTTTTCCAGCCTCAGCTTAAAAGTGGGCAGAGCTCCCCACAAGAGAGTCCTGGATGGGCTGTCGTACCGTCCGGACGGTTGTGTTCTGGGGAGGGCTGGTGTTGTTTGGGGCCCTTCGAGAGGGCCAGGGCAGGTGGGTGGGCTTGGGCCAGGCTCGGCTTGTGCCCTGTGGGGCGGCGAGGGGAGCCGCCCGTGTTCTGGGCTCGCTCTCGGCTGCATGAAGCCGTGGGGAACCCTGGCGTACTTGCCCGGCCCGTGTGAGCCGGCCAGCAGCACGGCATCCTCCTTCCTGCCCAGTTTTTCCGTTCTGAAAAAAAGATTTCATCCACATGGAAACTATGGGAGGAATGCGGGGTAAAAGTGCCATGTGGCCAACTCCGAGCCTCCCTTCTCCGGGATGCTGCTGCTCGTTCCTCGTTCTCCGCCTTGCTCTTCTCCTGCTTCCCCCGCCCGTCTTCCCCCTTCCGCTCCTTCCTCACAAGGGGCTTTTGTGCCAGGGCGCAGCCCCGCCAGGGCAGGTCTCACGGTCTCGTGGCGGCTTGTGCTCTTCCTGCCGAAGGCAAGTGCGCAAGTGAAGGTCGGCTGCGGCGCCCAGCTGCCACACTCGCTCCGGAGTGCCCTCCGCTCTGGCGCGACCGGGCTGCTCCGCGGCTGCACCCTTCTTTTCCGCACCGAGAAGTGTGCAGTCCGGCCGCGATCTAAGCGTCTCTCCGAAACTGACTCCGTCAGCAGTTTAAAACGGAGGAGAGGCTGGGAGTGGACTTCCTCCAATAGTTTTAGCTGGAAAAGGCTATTGTCCATTATTGTGTTTTTAAAAACGGGAACGCACCAGGCCGTTCTATTTTGGTGCGGGCGGCTGCTGTCAGCGCACGTCAAAGCTCTCCCTTCCTGCGGGCAGCCGGGGACTCTGAGCACGCACGCGGGCCGGCAGCGTGTCCGGAGCTGGCCTGCCCAAATGGGCCGGCCGGCCGGTTTCGCCAGTGCGCTCGCGGGTGCCCACCTCTGCGCGGCAAGGTATCATTTTCGGCGTGGGTCAGGGCTTGCTTCCCTCTTGAGCGGTTTTGCTGGATCACGGGAAGCCCTGCCGGGGAGGGTGCTCCGGGTTGCATAACGCCGCGCTCGGAGCTCCGTGCGGCGAGGGGGGCTCCGCGTGTGGCTTCGTGCAGCTTTTGCGTGTGTGGCTGTGGACGCAGAAGACGAGCGTGGCGGTGGAATGGGGCTTGACCCCACAGGTGCCTAGAAATGGGCCCATCCAGGTGCGTACGTGCTTTTGTCTTCGGGAAGGCAGAGGAGCCACGGTGCCTCTCCTCTGAAGGGAGGACTCACTGGGGGGACGCGAGGGGGCCGTGGGGTGGGACCTGTGTCACTGTGATCCTCGGACGGGGTGGCTCTTCTGCCCCCCCGGCCCCCTCCCCAGTTTCCCAGGGCCTGAGGTGAAGCAGGAGAACGAGCCCGTGTGCGCGCACGCGCGTGTGCGAGGAAGCGGGCAGGGTGCTGAGTCATCTGCGAGCTGGTCCTGCTGATAGACCGGGCAGGCTGGGGCCTGCTTGGGGGCAGGAGGGCCGCGAGAGGCGAAGGGGCTCCCGCCACGGAGCGGGTTTGCGGCTGGTGGCGGGCCGTTCGGCCCCCGACGGCGCCAGGTTTCCTGGGGTGTCCTCTCGCCATGCCTGCGCAAGGACAGCATGGCCCCCCCGCCGCAGAGCATGCCCCCCGGGCCCGACCTCCCTTTCCTCTCCCCAGCTGCGTGTCAAATCCATCCCATGCGACAGCCCAGGAGAACATGGAAAAGTGGAGAAACCCCCTTTCCCCCCACCCTGGCCTCCCCCGTTCTTTGGGTTTTCATGGCCTGGGGAAGCGCAGAACTGCCCTCTTGCCTGCTGGGCATCTCCCTTTCTTCACAGGTCTTCTCCTCTCGACTCCCATCCCAGGCCCCGCTGTCTCCTCGGCCCCGCAGCGGGCTGGCCCCGCTTTGCTGTCCGCACGCTCAGCCAGGCTCGGTCCCACCGCCTGCTCCTTCCCCCCGGCAGCCCGGGCCCTTCCTAGCCCTGCCCCGGCGGGGTGGCCTCGCTCTCAGCCAGACGCTTGATTGACAACTGGCCCTTTCTTCTCACAGTCATTCTGGCTTTGCGAAACCATTTGGCTGCCTGATGAGCAGGGTGTCTTTGTGTGTGTGTGCACAAGCAGGTGTCCCTGGGGGCGCTCTTCTGGCGTGTGACTGCAGCCCCCTTTTGCCCTGGGCCCCATGGCCCTCCCCAGCTCTGGCCAGCGGTACGAGGTAGCCATCCTTGCTCCCAAGGCTCTCCAGGAAGCAGGAGCCAAGCAACGCTGCCCGGCCAGGGGGCCTCTGTCTGGCTGTGTCCTGGTTTGATGGCTGGACCGAGGGCAGCACCGGTTCAAAGCCATGCCCAGCTCTTGGGGCGTTCTTGGCCTCGTCACTCGCCCTCTTGCCTACAGCGCAGGGTTGTTCCGAAGATAAAATCTGCGGCGTGCCGGGGCGGCACAAGCCTCTCCGCACTCGATCCCGCGAGTTCGCAAACCGTGCCTGGCTCTCCCTCGGAGACAAGCGTGCGCACATGCAACGAGTGAGCCTCACCCAGCTTGGGATTCTCGGATGTTGTGAAATGCAGCTTCCAGCGCTAGCCGTGCTGGCTTGGGACGGATGAGGGAAGTCCGCAGCATCTGGGGGGGCCCGGTGGGGGAAGCGCGATGCGAGCGTGTGGGGCCTGCAGGCACCCGCGTGTGTATGTGCGCACACTGCAGCCTCGTGCGTTTCTGCAGGAGAGGTCAGAGTGGCGAGGCTGACTTTCCTGAGCAGAGCGCTCTGCCGTGAGCTCCGTCTCCTCCAGCACCCTTGCAGTGCGCACGCCGCCCTTCTCGGCCTGCCTGGCTGCCCGCGTGGCTGGGAATGGTGGGTATTGCAGTCCAAGCGCTCGGGAGGAGCGTGGCCACGGATGCTCGTGCGGATTGCTCGCTGCCTTCCTCGGCAGGCGTGGGCTTCGGTCCCGGAGCTTGTTTGCACACAAGTGCGGCAACGGACAGGCTTCCTGTTCCAGCGGCGTGCCCCGCGGTGATAAAAGGCATCGCACCAACGTCTCGCAGGAAGAGCGGCTGCACGGGGCGCTCCGGGACCTGGAGCAACACAGTGGCCAAAACCCGCGCCAGCTCGCCTGGTCGGCTGGTCGCCAGCTTGCCAGCTCGTTGCCAGAGCGGCAACGGCAGCAGGACCTAGCCGTGCCCCACCTGTGAGGGGCGGGCCGGTGGGGCGCTGTTCCCGCGGGGTGGGTGTGAGCATGGAGAATCACGCGGCCTTCACCAGTGGGAGCTCCTGTAGACAGACCTTTCTTTGTGAGGCCGCCTAAATCTCCAGGTTGACGCGCTTCCGATGCTTCGGATTACGACTCGCATCAGTCCCAGCTGGCATGGCCAGTGCTGAAGGGTGATGAGAGCAGAGTCCGAGACAGCTGAGGGGAAGGCCGGTCCCCGTCTGCACGTATTTATGTGGCTGGATCAACAGAGACCTCCCCGGTTGAGGAAAGCAGGAGGTTCAGGGACAAGCCCCCCATGACTGTCCGGTTCACTGAGGGCGCGAGAGGCCGCCTCCCCTCGCGCTTCGGGCCGTCCGTGCTGTGTTGCAGCCACGAGGGCTGATTCTGCACGCCTGGCGCTAGCCAATCAGCCCCTGCATTTGGCCGCTGCAGGTTTTTTGCCTTTAAATAGGCCTGGCGAAGGCACAGGCCCCTCTGCTCCGCACGAGCGGGATCGGCTTGGTGCGGGGCTCGTGTCGCTAGGGGCCTGTGGCTTCCAGCCTCTTCCCCAGGAGCTCACTGGCGTTCTTCAGCTGTGGAGCCGTTCCCGACAGGCGGCCGGCCGACTGCTCTGGACTAATGGAGAAGAGAGTTGGGCACAGTGGCGATTCAGCGGGCTTGGCGGCTCCCCATCCCAACTGAGGACGCTCTGCAGTTGGCGGAGATGGGAAGCGTGTCCGGCAGCCCAGCCGCTTGTCTCTCCTTCCTCCTTTCTCGTTCGCTGCACCCTCTCCCCGCGGACCTCGCTTGTTCCCAGCGATTCTGTCCAGCCGGCCCCGCAGCGGAGTCCTGCTGTTCTGCTCGCTTGTGTTCCCCACCCGGCTGCCCCACCGCTTCCCGCTTCCCAGTCTCCGTTCTCCCCTCTTTCCCCTTCCACCTTTTTGCCAGTCCCTCACGCCGCATCTCCCCTCACCCCCGTCTTGTTCTGTCGTTTGCAGGACGCCCGAATGTTTCCAGCCCCAGCAATGAATGGTCCCACTCTCCCGCCAGGCGACCCCGCGCACCCCAGCGGCTGGAATGAGTTCTGTGAGCAGCATGCCATCAGCACCGCCAAGGAGCTGGCGCGGAAGTACCTCCTCTTCATCAGCGAGCACCCTCAGCGCGAAGCTCTGGCCGTGGAGAGCGTCTCCCTCCAGTTCGCCGATCTCTTCCAGCAGTATTTCTGCAGTGAGGTGAAGGATACCTTCACCATGGACCAGCTCCGCGCCCTGCCCTTCAGCAGGGTGCGGGACTACCGGGAGACCTGCCGGAAGCAGGCCGGCGGCTCCCTGGGGACCGTCGGGAGCAAGGCCGAGGTGGAGCTGGCCGAGCAGGCGGACCGAGGCCCCGAGGCGTGCCGCTGGGCCCAGCCCAAGTCCTGGAGCTCCGAGGAGCTCGTCAGCACGGCATCGCCCTTGGCCGTGCGGAGGCGCTTCTCCCTGGACCAGCTGCGGAGGAGGTGGCACAGCCTGTTCCGCAGGAGAGCCTCGGAACCCGCCCTGGGTGAGGGGGAGGCGTCGGACTCTGTCCTGAAGTCTGGCTTGGCCCGGAAGATCTTCCCGTTGGCCCTCGCGCGAGAGCCGGCCTCTCAGGTTCGGAAGGAGGGATACCTCAAGTACTGGATGGTGACAGAGGCCGCTGTGGACAGCGGGACCTGCTGGCAAAGGTGCCGGCTGGTTTTGCAGAAAGTGGACTCTTCAGACCACGCGGAGTATCTGCTGGCACTGTTCGACCCTCCCAAGGTAAGAGACGAGGCGTCTTCCTCGCCCCTCGGCTCTCGCGGGTCCGCGGTGCAGCAGACGCATCCGTGCCGCTTCCCTGGCCGGTCTCGCTGTGCAGGGTGGGCCACTGGGGCAGGCGAAGCAGAGGGCACCTCGGCACAGTGCCGAGTTCGGCTAGATCCACGCTGCAGCCCACCAGGGGGCGTTGGGATCCCACTCCTCTGAGCCCCAGCCAACATGGCCAGTGGCAGGGGATGATGGAATTGTAGTTGGAAAGTTCAGGAGGGCCACGGATTCCGCTCCTCCGCCTGCGGCCGGGGGGCTTTTAAGAGAATGAGTGTGAGTGTAGAGGCCAGCGGACCGGGACTGAGGAGACCCACTCAGCCATGAGGCCCAGGGACTCTCAGTGTAGCCCACACCGCAGGGCTGTTGTGAGGATGAAATAGCGAGAGGAGGGATTACGTACAGCGCCCTCGAAGGTATGATGGGTTATCAGTGTAACGAAGAGGCTGGTGAAGCATCGCTTAGAGCGGCCTTTCCCAGCCTCGCCCCATCCAGATTTGTTGGCCTTGGAATCATTTTGGAGCCGCAGTGCTGGGGACCCTTTGGTCTTTGTGCAAGATACGCGTAGATGTGATGAGCTTCAAGAAGACCGTGGGCTTGCCTACAGTGCTGTTTTAAAAGCTGGTCTGAGACCTTCCCTGTTGCCACGACCCTCGGCTGAAGCTCCGGGGAACTGTAGGTCTGCGCTGGGGCTTGAGCACCTCTCAGGCGCTAGGCCCGAGCAGCATCGTTCCGGCCTCGACCTTCCTGGTTTGCTGCTGGGCTTCGTCCTTTCTGTGTTAGTTGCGCGAGCGAAGCCGGCCGGCCAGGGAGCAGGTTCTGAGCAGAATGCACCAGGCCCTCGATGCGGCTTGTTCTGTTTCGTTTCTCGTGCCCTCGGAGCCGGGAGGGCCGGTGCGAGCTGCTGAAGCGCCTGAGAGAGGGGTGCATAGACACCTCCAGCAGTCCACAGCATGGTCCTCGCATCCGTTCGTGGGACTGTGCCGGCCGGGGCTGATGGGAACCTTGGCACCGGCACGGAAGGCTGCGTCTCAAGCAGCCGCTCGATCAGTGTCAACATGGACAGAGCAGGCCGAATTGGCGTGTCGCTCACAAGGACGGGGCACCGCCAGGCCCTTCGTGGCAGAGCGTTCGAACGACGTGTGGGCAGCCTGCAGAGGAGTCCCCGTCTCCGCCTCACTCCCGTCGGTGCGCATGCATCTTTGCATGCTTGGTCCGTGGGATTTCTGCAGGGGAAGCCCGGCACACGCAGTGGTTTTGGCCAGGTTTAAACCATGGATCAAGTTCTCATGAACTCCCTTCAGACTGTAGTTCCTATGATTCTTCTGGTGGCAAACCCTTTGAACTGTTAAGTACAGGCTGAACTGAAGGGAAAAGTTCATTAGTGTAAAAGCGATGGAACCGTGGAGCGGGATTCCCAAGGGAGCTGGGCAAAGTCCGAGTCTCAAACAACAGAGGGGGGTGTGTGTGGGTGTGTGTGTGTGTGCGCGTGCAGATCCTTCTTCCCAAGAAACATGTTTCCGGCTTTCCCCCCTCTGCTCTCCCACCCTCACCCCCCACCCCCAGATAGAGTGCCAAGGCACCTATTTTTGCACTCTTCTGTGTCTGAATCTCCTAACGTGCTCAGCTGCTGGCACTGTGATTTTCTGGCGTGTGGTTCTCCCAGTGAATCCATCTTCCTTCTGCTTCATGAGTCAAGGGTGTTTCCTGGGCTTGGTTAGTGTTTAAATGAGTGTTCATCCTTTGGGAAGGTGGCCGTCTTCTTGAAGGAATATGGTGGAGGGGACCTGGTTGAGGAAGGGCTTTACCTTTGCCTGGGGTAAAGTCATACAGCTTTCCCTATCCCATGTTCCAGCACATCTGGAGGACAACCCCCAGTCTCCCCGGCTGGTATGTGGAGGATGGCAATTGTAGTCTGACTCACCTGGAGGCCAGTCAAGGGGAGCTTGTTCCTCCCAAGTCAGGGCTCTCCGGTGGGTCCCACGACTTCTTCCCCTGACCACATGGTTTAGGCCAACTGGAACAGCTCTCCAGGGTTTGGGGCGAAGGATGCCCCTCGCATTGCCTGGGTCCCAGTCCCTTTAACAGCAGACGCTCTTGTAAATAAATACACGGCAGCCGGACGCAGGACGTACTTTCCACCGAGCTGCTGGTGAGTTTGGGGCAGTGTTCCTGCAGAGCATCTTTCTGGTCTTTCCCTGCGACCTGGTGCTTTTAACTGGAGGTGTGCCGGATCGAACCTGTGACCCGCGTGGAAAACAGGGGCTCCGAAGCGGAGTTACGCAGCGCTTCCTCGCATCTGGGCCATGGCATGTGCTCTTTTTGCTGGGCCCTGTGGCCATTTTTGAAGAGGCAGGTCTGATTTTCAAAATTTTCATCGGGGTTTTCTGCATGGGTTAGAAGTTGATGTTGCCTCCTCTTGCCGTGGGGTGATGGTGGGGCGAGGGAATCGGCCGCTTCTTCCTCCAAGAGGAGCAGGAGTTTTTGGAGCACAGGTGTGGAGATGGTGTGTGCGTCTGTCGCAAAGGCAGTTGACAAACATGGTGCTTCTAGGAAAGTGCGAACCGGACAGACCTCTGCCCCAAGGCGCTTACCAAGTCTGAGTGTGCGACGTGCGGGGTCCCACAGGGCATGGAGTGGCAAAACGGGTGTGGGATGAACTGGGGAAGCGCAGGCTTCAAGTGTCAGCACTTTCCCAGCGGCCGCCTCCTGTTTCCATGCCGCACCGAGCTGAGTGCGCACTTTCGCTGCGCTCGCTTGTGTGGAGGAAGGGAACCGGAGAGCAGCTGAGCGAACCCGGGGTGGGAAGACAGAGAGGCTTCACCTCTGCTGGCGTCGCCGTTGAGGGCTGGCAGCACCGCGTTCCCCTCGATGGGTTCCCAGATTCCTCCTGGCAGCACTGGAATGCCGCCAGCCCGAGCAGCTGCTTTGGCGGGGTCGGCCTCCGATGGCTGGGCTTCTCTCGCCCCCAGCTCTGCTCCCATTTCCGGGGCCTGTCAGCATCTGCAAGATGTGGTCCCTGCTCTGCCAGGCCAGCGTGACGGGGGGAGCGGGCCAGGCGCGCTCTCCATCTCTCCTGGCCGGCTGCCCTCTTGAGGGTCCGGTTCTTCCATTTGAGCAAATGGCGAGACATGTTTTTTCAGGGTGAAGGCTCCTCCCTGCTGGGTGGGCAGCAGCCCTTCTGTTTGGGGCTTGCAGAGATGCTGAGCGTCTCTAGGAAGGGGAAACAAACGGTGGGTCAAAACGTCTGTTGGAGAACGCACCGCGGGGAGACAGCGGTGCTCTCCGTGCCCCGTCAAAGCCCCTCACGGACCTGAAACAGAGATTCATTCATGCGGCATCCACCAGCCACGACTCGGAGAAGGCAATGCACGGGGAGGAGAGCGGGTGCCGGCGCGCATCCGCGTGCCGGGAGGCTGCTCTGGAGCCGAGCCGCAGGCCTTTCTCCCACCCGCCACCTCAGTGCCACGAGCTAAATTTAGCCCCGGAGAGCTGTGTCAGATGCAGCTTGTCTTCCGGAAGCGTCAGTGTAACACTTCAAACGCAGTGCTGCCTTTTCATTATCGTTATTGGCTTGTTTTAGTTTCTCCAAGGAGGGGGTGGAAGGAAGAAAACCCCTCCACCTCCAGCGGAGAAGCGCTGTTTGACTCAGCTGTTTGAGACTTTGCGGACAAAGGCGCCTGCTTTCTTGGAGGAGCAGGATGGCAGATGAGTTCCTTTCAGGCGGGCTGCTTAGGTGAACTGACGGATTGAGGCTGTGACCCCTTGATGTATTACAAGCAAGCAGAGTTCGGTGGTACGCATCACACCTCCCCCCCCCCCCGGCCGCGAGAATGCGGCACCCTCCCGCCCAAGGGAGCACGGGGCTCTTTGTACGTGGAACCACGCGCATTGGGCCTCGTGCTTGGGGCGCAGCACGAAGTCACGGTGCCCAGCTCTCCTCCTTTGGTCTGACCTCAGTCCCCGCACAAACTGCCTCAGGCGTGTCCGGCTGAGAGGCCATCGAGCGAGAATACCTGCGGGCAGGCAGTTGCTGGCCAAGCGGTGCTGCAGCTGCACGAAGGGCCCCGAAATGCCCAGACCGGCTGGGCCTCGAGCGACCCCTGTGGATCAGGAAGTCCCACCAACGGCCCCGTTAGGAGCTCCATCCAGAACAGGTCAGGGAGACTCTCCACTGGCGCCAGGAAGCCTCTGGACTAGAAGCCTCTGGACGTTTGGATGGATACAGGTGTGAGGGCTTTTGGTTGGGGAAAAAGGCATACTGGTTTTTTCTCTCTGATGGTTCCAGCAATGGTGCTGGGAAGTTCCATCCTTACATCTCGGCTGTCAGGTGGTGATGGTCCACAGTAGAAAAAGCAGATGCCAAAAAGGTTTCGCATGAACCCAGGGAAGCGTTTATGTGACTGTGAATTTTGGGGCGGGGGGATAGTCCCCTTATCACGCCTTACCTTTAGCAAAGCCCTTGCTCTTACGAACAGGCTCTGCAAAGCTCCGTTTCTGGCTGGCTAGTCCAGCTCTGGAAATGGTATCAGCGAAATGGCCGTGGAGAGAGGCCAGAGCTTGGATGTTGTAGCTGGGGAGGTGGAGGGAAAGCTGGATGTAGGACGGGCTGTCCGTGAGCAAAAAGAGCTTTTATGCTGCTCTTGGGCATCCTGTGGACGTAGGTGATGAACGGCCCTCTGGAAGGATGCTGAAACCAGTACCTCTGGAGCTCCCCTCCCCTCCCCAGCCACCCCTCTGTGGAGCCGACCCCTCCGTTTTGCGAGGTCCCATCCCAGAGCAGCATTCACAGCCAAACTGTAAATCCCATGAAAATTCTGATTTCCAATGGAAACATCCGCAGTCGTTTATGTCAACCAGATGTTACAGCAGGAAGAGAGTCGGGAAAGAGCGGGGCTGCTCCGAGTGCTTGCGAGCACATGTGCCGGTGCTGGTGGGGCGGGGGGGGGGGGTCCCCA